GTATAATTTCTTTTCTTAGTGACTTTTTGCTTTCTTCATGATGTTCTTGATTTCATCCCACAACTCTTCTGGTCTTTGGTCTTCAGTATTTAATGTATCATATCTGGTCTTCAGATGATCTCTAAATTCAGGTGGGATATAGTCAAGGTCATATTTTGGTTCACGTGGACTTACTTTCATTTTCTTCAGCTTCAGTTTGAATTTGCATATGAGTAATTGATCGTCTGTTCCACAGTCTTCCCCTGGCCTTGTTTTCACTGATGATATGGAGCTTTTCCATCATCTCTTTCTGCAAATGTAGACAATTTGCTTTCTATATATTCCATCTGGTGAGGTCCATGTGCATAATCGTCTCTTATGCTGTCTAAAAAAGGTATTGGAAATGTACAAATCATTGATTTTGCAGAATTCTATCATGTGATCTCCAGCATCATTTCTATCACCAAGGCCATATTTTCCCACTACTGATCCGTCCTCTTTGCTCCCAACCTTTGCATTCCAATCACCAGTAATGATCAATACATCTTGATTGCATGTTTGATTAATTTCAGATCGAAGAAGTTGGTAGAATTCTTCTATTTCTTCTTTATTGGCTTTAGTGGTTGGTGCGTAAATTTGAATAATAGTGGTATTAACTGGGCTTTCCTGTAGGCACATGGATATTATCCTATCACATACAGCGTTTTGCCTCATAACTGATCTGAATATGTTCTTTTTGACAATGAATGCAACACCATTCCTCTTCAATTTTTCATTTCCAGCATAGTATACCATGTGGTCATAGATTAAAAATGGCCAATACCAGTCCATTACGGCTCATTAATGCCTAAGATATTGATGCTTATAAGTTCCATTTTATTGTTGACAACTTCCAATTTTCCCATGTTCATATTTCGTACATTCCATGTTCCTATTTTCCATAGTTGTTTACAGCGGTTTCTCTTCATTTTGAGTTGTGCCTCATAAGCAAATGAAGGTCACGCAGGCTTTTCTCCCACGGGCTTTACTCCATTCGTCTCATCACGGTCAACTCTACTCTGAGGAGGCAGCTCTTCCTCAGTGACATTTTGAGTGCCTTCCAACCTGAGGGGCTCATTTTCTGGCAGTATATCTGACAGTGTTTCTCTGCTAGTCGTAAGGTTTTCAGTGACTAAATATTCAGAATTGGTTCATCACTCCTTCTTCCTAGTCTGTTTTCGTCTGTGTATCTTTACGGGAGCTAAAGTCTCATCTTTCTCCTGTGGAGTGACTAGTAGATATGAACTAGTGATCTTGCAGTTAGCAGCCCAGTTTGTAATTCACTATGCTACCAGGGCTCTTTGTTCACCTTTTAGGCATGTCTATTGTGTGAATTAAAGTTGAACCGGGAATGAGTTCATTTTGAAGCTTGAAGAGTGGTTAAGCGTCATAGTCTCAGGGCTTCCGCCGGTCTCCTCACTCTTCTCTCTCCTCCCTCTTTCCCTATTTTGCTCACTCATCACCACACATATATTTATATGTCACGGTTATGTCATTAGTGCCATTGAGTTGTTCTGACTCATAGCCATCCTGTATCAGGTTTCTGAGGAGTGGCTGGTGAGTTTGAATTGCTACCTTGTGGTACAAACAACTTTGCAGTCTAGTGCTTATCCTACAGCGCCCACTAGGACTCATATTTTATATGGATATCATTTATGATTCTGCAGGATGAGCACTGGACTTTGGACCACAAGGTCAGCAGTTACAGCCCAACAGCCACTCCACCATAGAAAGATGAGGTTTTTTGCTCCCATACAGATTTACAGCATTGGAAACTCTGTTCACGGTTGCTATGAGTTGGAACTGACTTGATGTCCCTTAACAACAACAACTGTATCAGAGACTATTGTGATTCATATTATGCTAAATATTTTATTTATTTAATCTTATTTTTTATCATGAGACAAATGAGGCGTGGATACCATCATTTTCCCAATAAGGAAATGGATACATTTGGTGCTGCAGGTTAATGCGCTGGACTGCAAAGTTGGTTTGAACCATAAAGTCGGCTGTTCAGGCTCACCAGCCACTCCTCAAAACCCTATACAGGGTTGCTATGGGTCAGAACTGACTTGATAACAAGTAGCAACAACAACTGTCTATGATAGAATTGGAAATTAAACCTATAAATCTCAAAAGAGTTTACTTACCTACAGTAACTCACAGAAATATTTTGGTATAACACCGATAGAGGTGATATAAGGCAAAGCCGCCATTTTTATGACTGTTCTTATGTTTACTCATTTTTACAGGAAATTTCAAGATGAATTATACTGAGTCCAGTCTGTTGGCAGATTCAACTGCAGTAGCTTTTACACCTGAGTTACAAAGTATCATACCTGTGCCTTCCAATGAAACCACATGTGAAAACTGGAGAGAGATACATCATCTTGTTTTTCATATAGCAAATATTTGTTTTGCAGTTGGGTTGGCTATTCCAACTGCTCTTCACCTTCATATGATACTTCTTAGGGGAATGTTAACTCTAGGTAAGTTAACTTAACTCAGATTTTACCTCACTTGTTGATAACTGGCATTTTGGTGGGCTTTGCATTCAGGGTTTTACAGTATTCTTTGTCAGCCCTATAACATACAAAAGCCATGATGTCTCAGGATCAAATTAGCAGTATATTAAGTAATATAGAATATAAGCCTTCACATGCCTATCTCTCTCTTTGTATATATTTATATTTATCTCCTTTACTTAGTTATTCAGTGTTGTTATATCAGAAGTACCATAAGTAGATGGCTTTAACAAAATGAAACTTACTCTATCCTGATAAGCACTGGGCTGCCAACCATAAGGTTGGTAGTTTGAAATAATGGCTCTGTGGGAGAAGATAAGGCTTTCTGCTCCTGCAAAGATTTACAGCCTCGGAAATTCTACACAGGGTAACTATGAGTCAGAACCGACTCGATGACTCTTAGCAAGAAGTTCTGATTCAGAGGTTCTCATCTCCTTTCAGCCTCTGTAGGCATGTGTCCCTTGGAGATCTCTGTGCATCTTGGTGTCAATCTTCCCCTGGATCTAGGAGCTTCACAACTATACAGTGCACACACCCTGGGTCCAAATGACATGCTCTGCTTCCAGCTCTACTTTTTGGTGATGCTGATGTCCCTCTCTCTGCTTGCTTCTCTCTCTTTCTGCCTTTTTGTAAGATAAAAGGGGATACAGGCCATACCCAAGGGAAACTGCCCTTCCATCAGATCTGGACTGTGACCTGTTGCGTCCTGTCCTAATTCCCCTGACCACTTATTGGTTAATCACATTATGGGCATGATTGCATCATTCCATAACTGCTGAACCTCTGAGAATCATGACCTATCCAGGTTAACACATATTTTGGGAGTATACAATTTAATCCTAACATTCATTGTCCACCCTAAAACTCATGTCTGCTCGGTGCAAAACACTTTCATCCCATCACATCGTCCCAAAAGTCATAAATCAACTCCAAATCCAAATTCCATCCTGGTGGTAAAAATTCCTCTTCACTGTGAATCTAGAATGTAAATGATCCGCTTCCAAAGTACAGTGGTGGGATAAGAACAAGGTGTAGACATTTAGAAATTGGAGGGAAAGAAGGAATAATGGACACCAAGCAAGTCAAGAGCCCAGCTCTCAAGGCTGGACAATAATCCTTTGTTTTCTGAGACCATTGGGCAGTGACCCTACCCTCCCAACTCTGGATGGTGGCCATGTTCTGTATGGAAGCTCTTTAATAGTGGTCTTCTGTTCCACCTTCCAGACCCACAGGGAAAGCAACTCTGCTCCCTCAGCTTTTGGCAGCCCATTCTCCCTAGTCCAGTTAAGTGCAGACCCTACTCCCTTGGCCCTTGCAGGCCCTATTCTTCTACCCCTTGTGCATGGTAGCCCCACTGCCTCAGCTTCGGGCTGCAGATCCAGCCCCATCTCCCTGGGACTCATGAATGGTAGCACAGCATTCTGAAATCAAGTTGGCAAAGATCTGACTCTTTAAAACCTAGGAGGCTGTGTCCCCACCCTTAGAAGCCCCAGAAGCCATAGTCCCACACTTTGAGACCCTAGAGGCCATGGTGCTAACCTTTGAGAAACCAGAGGTTGTGGCTCCTTCCTTTGATACTGAGGCATCTCTGCTCCCCGTTCTCCTTATCTCTTCAAATTCTATTTCCTGATTGCTTGGTCTCTCGAAGAGACCTGCTTGTGCTATAAGCCTTGACCTGAGGGCACTCATCTCTCACTCTGTGGTCTGACAAGCCTAACTCCCCCAACAAATGCCCAGAGGCATCTCACTCCTCCAGGAAGCCTCCTGCCTGAAAGCACTCAGCTCTCTCCCTCTGTGGGTTGGCTTCTACATCGTCTCACACAAGTCTTCTGGTTCACCTTCTGCTCTGTCTCCATTATTACAGTTCTTCACTTCCTCCTGAGCCCTCATGGAGTTGCCCTTCATGTCCTTCATTTCATCATCCATCTCTTCAAGGGAATTTTGGCTTTTAATATTAGGCACTGTCTTGGTGTGGCACGGAGGGTTAATGTGCTGCACTGCAAGGTCGGTTTGAACTACAAGATGGAAAGTTCAAGCTCATCAGCTGCTCCTCAGAACCCCTAGACAGGGTCACTATGGGTCGGAACCTACTCGACGACACTTAACAACAACAGCACTCATAACCCAGTTCTAAAACCACTTCCACATTTTAGGTATTTGTCAGAATAGCAGCCTGCTCTTCCAGCACCAAATTCTGCCTTAGTTATTGTAGTGTTGATATAACAGAGCAGCTCAGCTTAATGGCTTAAACCAGTTTATTTTTTCACCGTATAGGAAGGAGTCTGGAGGTCTGACTTCAGAGTGCCAGATCTAAGGGAATGCGCTCTCTCTCTTTGTTGACTCTTTTCATCTATTTTCCTCCAAGTCTAGGAGTTTCTCAGCAGAGGAACTTCAGGGCCAAAGGAAGGACTCCACTCCTGGGTCTGCTTTCTTAGCGGTAGGAGGCCCCTCTCTGATCTACACTTACTTGTTTAATCTCTTTTAAATCTCAAAAGAGATACACTCAAGATACTACCTAATCCTGTAGATTGCACCCTGCCTCATTAACATAACTTCCTTTATTCCTGTTTGATCTACATCATGGAGGTTAGGATTTACAACACATGGAATAATTATATCAGATTACAAAATAGAGGATAACTGCATAATCCTGGAATCCTGACCTAGCCATGATATTTTGGAGGGACACAATTCCGCCCATTGATGTATGTTTTCATCTTTTGATTGTATTTACCAAATATTAGAAAATCTATTCATTTGTAATAGTATTTTTAGCTAAATTATGTGATTTGAATCAGGTTCTACTACTTGGTAATTGTGTGACTTGGACAAGTGATGTAACCTTTTTACACCTCAATAAAAATAATATTGCCAAGGTTGCTGTAAAAATTGTGTGTGTTTGAGAGAGAGGGGGGCGGGGAAGGGGCACTAAAAAAAGTTCATGGGAAAATTCCACTGTCTTTTATTTTCATTTGTCAGTGAACTTTTGAAGCCCCATTCTGTATGTTGTTGTTATGTACCATCCAGTCGGTTCTGACTCATAGTGACCTTGTACAGGGTTTCCGAGGAGCAGCTGGTAGATTTGAATTGCCAACCTTATGGCTCCCAGTCCAGTGCTGGTCCTATAGCGCCACATAGATATGCGTGTATATATGACTTAGAATAGTGTTTGGCATTTACTGAATGTTATAAGTTGTTGTTGTTAATTACTGTCAAATCGCTTCTGACTCATAGCAACCATGTATAGGGTTTCCAAGGAGCAGCTGGTGGGTTTGAACCACCAGCCTTTCAGTTAGCAGTCCACTGTTTTTCCTAAAGTGCCATACATATAGTCTTTATTATTATTTGAAAGGATTCCTAGTGGTGCTATAGATACAAGCACTGAGCTCTTAACGACAAGGTCTGCAGTTCAAATCCAGCAGGTACTCCAAGGGAGAAAGGTGAGATTTTCTGCTCCTGCAAACATTTACAGCCTCAGAAACCCTATTCAAGGTCACGATGAGTCAGAATTGACTTGATAACAGTGGTTTGGGATTATGATTTGAAAAGGCACTTACTTTTTTGTGGCCAGTAAAACAAAATTGGAGTCCTAGTATGGTGCTGTGAGATAAAGCACTAGACTACAAGGTCGGTTTGAACCACAAGGTTGGTAGTTCAAACTCACCAGCTGCTGCTTGGAAACCCTATACAGGGTTGCTGTGAGTTGGAACTGACTCAATGGCACTTAACAACAGCCTTGTTTAATTGGACCCAAAAACTATTACCTAGATATAATAATCCAAGCCAAAATAATTTTTGTCCTGAGTAAACTTATTAAACTAATTAATGCTATTATTCTAGCCAGTGGTTCTTGGCAAATTACTCTCTGTGATTATTTCCCTGATTATCCATTTATTCAGGTACATTTTTGAGCACCTTTAATGTGTCAGACAAAGATTTAAGAAGGTGGTATCTGCTCTTGAGAGTGACTTTCTTAGAGGCCAGGGGAGAAGCAGGTGGCAGTCATAGAATGACAAGTTGGATGCTGTGAAGCAGGTGTGCACCCAGTGAGGGGGAAACAGGTGTGAGGCTCAGTAGGCAGGTAGAACAAGGTCCGGTTGAGGAGAGGATATTGTGGCTGGCTTTTAGCAGATGGGTGGGATTGTTTCAATTGTGAATGTGTGCAGTACTCTGGGCACAGGGCACAGAAGAGAAGAAAAATTCAACATGTTAGGGGAATGAAGAATAGCTCATTATGCTTGAAATGTATGAGAAGTGGGAAGAAATATTCATGGAAGAGGAGGCTGGAAGGGAGCTAGAAAGCAGCTTGTGGGATTTGTGTGGTATGCTGAGGAATGTAGACTTTTCCTCTGGAATTTTTAAGTAAAGAAATGACATGATCTGATTAATGCTCTAGACAGCTACAATGTTGGGAGAGTTTGGAGAAGGATTGGATTGGAGAGATGAGATCTGCAGTGGTTGTGATGTGAGGTTAGAGAGAGGATAGCCAGTTTAAGAGACAACTTCATTGGTCCAAGCCAGAAATGCCAAGGAAGATAACTTTTGCAGTAAGGGAATGAAGGATGGATTTAAGAGTTGTTCAGACTTAGAACAGTAGGATTCAAAGGCTGTTTGGCTGTAGGGTGTTGGCGAGGGGGGTATAGGAGTGGGTGCTGACTGGAGGACAGAATATAACGACGTTACCTCTAAGAAAGGCAGGGATTGCAGAGGGGGAAGCAGAGTGGTGAATGAAAACAACGCACTGTCTCAAAATGCAAAACCAAATGATGTATTTTAAAACAGGAGTTTGAAATTTGAATGAACCAAGGAGATCATTTAGTCCATTCTACAAATGAGGAAACTGAGACCCAGAAAAGTAAAACCTGGGGGGCGGGGGGGAAATGACAGAACTAAAACTAGAATTCAGGTCCTAGTTGCCCAGTCGGTCCTTAAGTTATATTGCCCTGTCTGTTTTAAGTAATAAT